TTCAGTCACTTTGACTTCAGCTTGATGACACCTAAGTAGTTTAACCTCTCTTTTAACAGTTACCAGAACTTGGCCTCTGTTTTTCCCAAACATCATTTTATCAAAATTAATTACAAACTTCCTCGGTAGTAAGTAGTCCAATCCTAATATGCATTCGTCTTCAATGTCAGCCAACTATACTTTGTGTCTGTCCTTTATGCTCATGAGCTCAATAGTTACGCACACTGGTCCCCACAACCTTGCAGAATGTCCTGTCACACCACAAAGCTTCTGTATGGGTTCTGGTATTCCTTCATGATGGGGGTTGGTGGGTGTCCCTCAACACCAACCATTACTGGTCTCCTTGAGGCTGACTTGTTGGTAATATTCTTCTTACACTGGCTCCTCATATGTCCTTGCTTTCCACAGTTCCAACAACCTTTCTGGATAGCAGCCTTTCGTGCTGTGGCATCTTCCCTGTGTTGAAGTTTCCAGTATTGAGCTCTCTTGTGCCCAGGTTTGTTACAGTACCAGCAAAGTCCCTCAAACTTCTCTGAAAGCTGACCTTTTTTGGCCTTGAATCCCGATGACTGTACCAACCTTGGTACCTCTGTGCTGGACTTAATGTAGGATTCAAATTCAAGTGCTATGGTCATTGCATCCTGCATAGTAGAGGGGTGTGCTTGCTTCACTTGTATCTTTAGTTGTGGACTGTCCAAGGTGTCTACAAAACTGATCTCTCAGCAACAACTTGGGGAGATCGGGTGGTGCAGTTGGGTAGACCTTGTGTGCCATACTTTCCAAGTCCTGTGCCAGCTCTTGCAGGCTCTCCTCTTTAGCACGGACTCTCGTCCTAAACCTAGCCCTGTAGACATCAGATTGATTTTGGGTTCCATATATGAGTTTTTGAGCTGTTACCAGTGCTCTATAGTTGTGCCTGTCATCTCCTGACAACTGCCCAAGTATTTCCAGTGCTTGTCCCTTCAAGCTCGTTGCCAGATATACTGCTTTCTTCTCCTCTGCCCATCCATTCATTTCTGCCAGTAGCTCAAATTGTGCTCTATATGCTTCCCAGGGTGCCTTCCCATCGAATTCCTGTGTCTTCCTTCGTATTAGTTCATCCCTATTGCTGACATTCATATCTGGGATGTGACTCCTAACAGGACTGAAGATGTCTGCATTAGGGTTTAGCTGCAGGGTCTGATTAAGTCGATGGTTAATGTATCCTCCTTG